CTTAGAGCAAGAACTGGAAGAGAGTGAATGATGAATAGTGTTTATTTTTGGCAGAAGAAATACATTGGTGCTATAATGTGCTCATGTTTTGCAGCTTAACTTGAGAAAGATGATGATGTGAGAGAACTCCTTCCTCGATTGTTCTTTTGCCGCATGGTTGTTTCACCAGGTGTGTGCTACATCCTGACCAAAAGGAAGCAGTGCTGCAGGCTACGAGTTCAAATGCACAAAACCACTGACTGCGTCTTAAAAATTTTGATGTTTCTTTTTAAAACTTTATTAGGTTTTTATGTGCTTTTTCTTCTGTCCCTTTAAATTTCAAGGTCTCCTCAAAGCCTATTTTCAAGCTTGCTTCCTCCCCCATAACTACAAGGGCTAGGAATCCAAGGTCCTAGCTCGGTGAGCTAGGAAAATTCAGTGAGCTGAAATTTTCAGGCTGTCATTTAATGGCAACAGCAGCAAAGAACTTATATGGTCTTGTGACAGTTTATAAAGCTAAGATTGTTTTAAGCTGTGTAGTATTTAATTTAGTAGTAACTACTTAATTTTATAGTTAAATACTTACTACCTGTACTTCAGTAGTAGCCAAAGATACTTTACAAAATAAGTAGGACAGATGAAAAAGCTTCCTGCATTGTGCAATTAGCACTAGTAATTTTTAAGGAAGATAGGAAGGCTTACAAGGGTTACGAGAGAAAGGTGATGGTAGGGTGGTCATTTGATTGCCCAGTCCAACAGCTGTAGATTCCTGCAGGGTTAATTCGGTGGCCTGACTGCATCAACTGCAAGTGTAAATTGGAAGATAAACAGAGGGTGTGAGATAGTGGCTCATAGCAGATACCACACCGTACTAGAATAAAGATTAATTGTAAGTAGTGATGCGCCTCTTACAAGGATGGGGGTTCCCTGCTTCCACCAAGGGAAGAAAATATTAGCCTCAGGTCTTATATAGTTAATAGATCATATACCCAAGTGAGTCTTCCTGGTGAATTGATGGGAGCTTGAGGGGATCTGTCTGTCAGTTGGAGATGCAGGCTGATCACTGAGGTTGTCTAATACTATAACAGTCAATCTTGTTTAATTGTAACTCTGTCGTTTGGGGGAGGTGGGAAGTTAGCTTAGATTGCTATTGAAAAAATGCCCATGATTTTTTTGCAGGACTTACGTATCCCTTTGCTTGCTTTCAGAAAATTGACTAGCTGACACCTGATTGTACTGGGCTCCTTGTTCCTTTCACTATGTAGATCACTGTAGGGTTTTAAGAAAGAGGAGGAAATTGAATAGTTGAGTTCCAGCTTTGTCTTCCTTTTGTTTAACTCTGATTGACATTGACCTAAGGGAGGGAACCATGGCCTCTGTTGATGGGCTTAAATCAATCTGCTTGCTCTTGTGTTGAAGTAAATAAATTGGAATGGAACTGCTGCTTTTCCATCTGAACTGTGTCTTCTCAATTTCCTATTTCTTTGCGTCTCTAATTGTGGGAATTTTCTAGTGCAATATTTGCATTGTAGGAGTTTGTTTCCCTTTGATTAACTTTCTACAACACTCAGCTGTTTTAAAATAGGATGGAAGAGCTGGAAGATGCTGTCATCATTAAAAATACACCCAGAATAATTTCTTCTGTAAACAAGGCAATGGTTCTGTTTACTAAACCAGATTAAGAGAGACAGTCTTCTTAGTGAAGACTTTCTTGGCCACAGAACTTTCTCTCAAACACGGAATGAAGCCAGGCACTGGGGGATGGGATGGTGAGAAGATACTTACATAATTTAAGACTATTTGATGTGTCTGAGGGCTGAGTTAGGTACACTCTTAATGATTGGTTGTTTAGAGCTGGGGTGGACCCATGTGGTGGACATGTGTGCCAGGCTGAGTGTCCTACATAAAACACTGGAAGTTTTGTTATAGATCCCTTTTGATCCTGTTTGAAAGATGATGCTGACTTCTGTTCTCTTGTTTTAATGTTTGTTTATTTTTTCCAGATTGTATGAATATCTTTGTAAATGCTTCACAAGTGGAAGAATTTCTTTTCCTCTCTGTGAAAAATACTGTTATGAATAATATTTTTGGTCTTTAGTAGATCCTTTATAGGCTGCTTTTCCTTGTGGTTTTCTCTGTTTTGTAGCTTGGTCTAACTCTTCAGCAAAGTTCTTTCTTACACTGAAGTCAGCAAAATCAGCAATTTAATCAGTTGCTAATTTAGCAACTTTATCTGAAGAGCTGGTTTGTTCTGTTTAACTGAAGTTTGCTTTGATTGAATTAGGGAGTAAGGATACATGCTTTAGTGGGATGTTTTGGGAAATGTTTTCAAAGCAGGAGGGGGTAAAAGTGTAGTGTAAGGAAAAAAGCTGCTAGAGAGTAGGGTGTCTTTTTCAAGTAAATAATAGCATCACTTAGGTTTGAAAAGATTATGGAGTCCAGCCATTAGCCCTGCACTGCCAGATCCACCACTCAAACATGTCCTCAAGTGCCACATCTAGACATCTTTTAAATACCTTCAGAATTGGTGACTCAACCACTTCCCTAGGCAGGCTGTTCAGTGCTCGACAACCCCCACAGAGATTTTTTTTCCTAATACCTAATTTAAACATCCACTGGTACAACTTGAGACTGTTTCTGCTTGTCCTGTCTCTTTTTGCCTGGGAGAAGAGTCCATCCCCCACCTTGCTACAAATTCACTTCAGGTGATGTAGAGAGTGACAAGGTCCCCAGTGAGCTGCTGCTTCTCTGGACACTTCACCAGCTTTGCCCTTCTCTGGACTTGGTCTGGCACCTCAGTCTGTCTTGTAGTCAGGGGCCCAAAACTGAGCACAGGGTTCAAGGTGTGGCCTCACCAGTCTTGAGAACAGAGGAGTGAGTGATGTCTTTCCTCATCTTGCTGGCCACACTTCTGCTGATCCAGGCCAGAATGTCATTGGCCATGTGGGCACACACTGGCTCATGTTCAGCCAGTGTTGACCAGCACCCCCAGGTTCTCTTCTGCCAGACAGCTTTCCAGCCACTCTTACCCCAGCCTGTAGTGCTGCTTGAGGTTGTTGTGACCCAGACAGAGGAGTTGGGCTTGGCCTTGTTGATTCTCCTCCAATTGGCCTTGGCACATTGATCCAGCCTGTCCAGATCCTTCTGCTGAGCCTTCCTGCACTCCAGCAGATCAGCACTCCCACTCGGTGTTACCTGCAAGCTGAGAGGGTGCACTTGATCCCCTCATCCAGACATATCTTTTCTTTAAAAATATTAAGCAGGACTGAGCTCTGGGAACCCCACTTCTGCCTGGCTGCCAGCTGGATGTAACTCTGTTCCCCACCTGTGTTTGAGCTCAGCCAGACAGCTTTTTACCCAGTGGAGAGCACACCTATCCAAACTATGAGCAGCCAGTTTCTCCAGCAGAATGCTGTGGGAAATGCTGTCTAAGACTTCATGAAGGACTTGGTACACAGCGTGCACAGCCTTTCCCTCATCTTCTGTGCAGGGCACCCTGTTGTACAAGGAGATCAAGTTGGTCAAGCCAGACCTGCCTTTTATAAACCCATGCTTCTGGGCCTGATCCTTCATTTGTCCTGTATGTGTCTTGTCATGGCACTCGAGATTATGAGCCAGTTGCTGTAAATGACACCTGACTGAACCCAGTAGGTGAGTTTTCTTTTATTTTTGGAGTTTTAGGGAAAAACTCATACTGAATTACTGCAAAAACTTAGGGATTGCTCTAGAAGGTGAGGGTGACTGTCAAGACAAATTTGCAGTGACCCTTCAAGTGGAGTCAAGGGAATTGGAGGTGAAAAGCAGCAGTGATACTTCCCAGAGAGAGTTGGAAGGCTGGAATTGCAACAGCTGCAGCCTATGAAGTATTTCCTCCAGAACAGGGCAGGATAGCCTGTAGGATATACTTGAGATTGATAGATTCTACCTTGTTCATTGCATGGCTTTGCTACTGGTAGATACTGTTATAAAACCACATCTCTAACTCTACAATAAAATTCTGGTGAAAGATAGGAGTGGAAAAGAATAAGGAAGTAGTGGCTTGTTGCACTCAAGTAATCATGACATGGGAGAAGTGGAATAGTAGAAGGCTGTACCTGTCAAGTAAATTTCCATGGTAACTTGTGGTTGGAATTGGCTATTTTGAATTTTCACAAGATTAAGCAACAACAGTTCATTCATAGCTGCTGAAAAGGCTGCTCACTGTCTAAGATGTGAGCAATACAGGGCTTGATTTTCCTTGGGTCTCTCTGGCCAGATAAGTGAGTTTCTGGTATTTCTGTTTTTCTTTTACTAGACTGTGCAGTGAGGTGAAAACTCTGTTTGAAAAATTGACACTTTCTCTGATATTTCTCCATAATTTCACAAGTTTAACAGATGGGGTCCTAACTTTCCTTCCTCAGTTTGCAATGTGTGAAAATAACATTTTACTGTTGCTTGAGCAATGAGGTTTGGCTTGTGTCAGAAGCTGAAAGCTGTGCAGGCATAAGCAGATAGTTTCAGTGCAGCTTTTAGTGTCAAAACTGGACTTCAAGAACATCCAGTGATCCTAAAAAAAGCAAGAGAAATTTGAGGCTGCTCATACCCTGTTCTGTTTCATCAACATCAGCCTGTCTGCCTCCTGCACTTGCCAGTGCTTGTTCAACTGTGTAATTATGGAAGCTGATAGTGTGTGACACAAGAAACAGGAGAAGCACAGGTTCCTATAAAGGCCAGCTGGTTTCTTTGAGCTGCCAGTGGACAGAAGAGTTTTACTGTCACATGACTTCCGAGAGAACCTAGAGTGACCCCATGCTTCTGTGCAGAGTACACACACATGGTAGGTGCAAAGCAGCATTCAGCTCCTGGCGCTGGGTCTTTGTGTGAGAAACCGAAGTGGAGAGATTGCCTCAGACTCGTGGGGGTAGAGAATGTCAATAATAACAAAAACTTTTCTTTTGTTGGTTTCTAGATGCTTTAGAAAAAGTTCATGCATTAGTTTGTCTTGTGTTTCAGTTTCTTCTTTTGTTTTTCTTACGTTTCAGGTTTATCAGTCATGAAACGAATTCTTCTGGTTTTTATCCTGGCTGCTGCTGTTATGTATGGTATCCTGCATGGAAATCTGTGGAGAAATAACTTCTACTGGTATGGTGATGCTTTGTTCATTTAGAGTGCAGACACTTCATGGCTGTATGAGAGATGTGGCTATGAGTTCTTGTGTTGCTCCATAAGTGTTTACTAGTAATCATCATAAGTGATTACTACTCGGTTCATGTGTGTTTTGTGGTTGAAGTCTTTTGGTACTCTGAGGAAATCAATATGATTGTCCTGTCCTGTCACCTGTTCTCTTGTGTCAAAGGTAGTAATTAATTTGAGCCTGGTTGTATGGAGAGGTCAGGACCTCAGTGGTAGGAAGCCCCTCTGAGGTTCACGAAAATAGGTGTTCAGGCAAGGAGTTACATAAGGTGCAGAAATAAGGTGTCCACATCTCCCTCCACCCCATGTTGGGTTAGTGTTAGTTTGTTCCATTAAATGTCTGATAAGTGATGTGGCAGAGGCCTTCTCCACATGTAGGAATAACTGCAGGTGCAGGGGGCACCTTTTGAAAACCTGGAATTTGTTTAGGCCCACCAGCTGCCCTTGAGGGTAGTGAGGCTTCGCTGTCTCCAGGCTCATGGGACAAGTGGCTTGGGACCTAAAATTTGTGGCACTTACTTGAAGAAGTTGAGTTTCGCACAGCTGTAATCAGGACTGACCAGAGTGTTATGAAGATAAGTGATAATTTTTGAAAGTGTACGTTAATGTGCTCCCTTTATCTTGTTTATGGTGTACAATTGATACGAATAGCTTTCTGTTGTGGTTTGTGTTTACAGCAAACCACAGTGTTGTGACATTTCCCTTTTTGCAGGATTAGCTTTTATGGACAGACTTCCTCTGTGAGGGCTTCTCCTTCCTATGTGACTAGTGGAGTTACAATCAGTTACAATGAGTAAGTTCAGCAGTTGGGTATTTTTGTGGTGGGGTTGTTGGTTTATTTTGATTTTGGATAGGTGGGAGGGATTCAGGCTAAAATCAGTAGCCTTTGTCCATAGGTTTCCTGCTCAATTGTACTGCTGTGTCCAGTGGCTGTTCCTGTTATAAACACAGTGGTGTCTGTCAGAAAATTCTGTCTTCGTGTTATGTTTCCAGTGTTTGTTTAATATTTATGGCCACTTCCAATAATTGTCTTTAACAAGCAGTGAGTTGTTGGAAGGACATTGGCTTACAATTTTCAAATCTGTGCAATGCTGTTATACCTGAATAAAGTGAGCACAGCCTGGAGGGTAACTTCAGTGCTTAAAACCTACTAAACCAGAGGTGCGTTTCACTTGTTGTGTTCAAGGGTGTGTATAGGCAGCTCTTGTGCTTGTGACTTCCTGCAGTTAGATTTGTGGGACTGATGAGCACCTATACTTGAAACTTGAAAGCAGACCTCTCTTCTCTCTGAAGCTGTCCTGCAAAATGCCATCTGTGAGGCTGATGCCGGAAAGCAGCAAGGTGGCCAGCTTATAGATCTCACAGGGTGCTTTCTCAGTGTCAGTAGTCACGTAAGAACTTGAGGTTACCAAAATCAATTAACCTTAATGGTCTTTTTGGCTTGTGGTTCTGATTGGTGATTTCATTCTTCTGTCCTTGATGCAGTCCAGCAGCACATGTTGCTCACACTGAACTTTGCCTTCCCTTCTGGGTTTTGTATTTGTGATTAATTGGGCTAAATCTCCAAGTCAGGAATGTGCTTAGAAGTGTAAGTCTTAGTCTTATTATGAGTGGAATGACCTATCCCCAAAGAATCTCATTTTCCTTAAAGTACCCTATTTCATTCTCCAAACAAGATTTTGTCTCTTCCCTGAGGAGTGATGGGAATGCTATCTGGAATGGCTGCAGGGGTGATTGAAACCAGGAGTCCTGCTTCTCTGGAGGTTGGCCTCAGTTCTCACTTTTGATTATGCCTGCTTTGATACTTGATGAGCAAGGGAGCAGCAGTGTGAAATAAAAGCCTTTGCTTATAAAAGTAATTGTGCTGCAATGAGAAAGTTTCATCTCTATCAGACAGGGGGAGGAAGTAATAAAATCTTGGTGTGATCTTAACTCAGTAATCAGTTTTTACAAATTTGATTTGTCCTAGTTTCCCTACCTTGTTTCTGCTACCCATTCCTGTCTTGCTATTTATTTGGAATTGTTTTTTGCAGGTTGCCACCTACGGCTGTAGAGAGGAGGAATGCATTGGACACTTGTCTCCTGAAACCAGCATTTGAATCTTTACTGGGGTGAGTCTTCTGTGGGAATTGGGGGGGGGGGGGGGGGGCGGAAGGAAAGGCTATGCTGATGGAGGTAGAACTGGGCTATTTACACATTTTGGAGCAAACGTTGAGTGGTGCCCTGAGAAAGCTTGGAAAGATTAGACCAAGTCCTGGCTGCAGGAGTCTTAAACCTCTGCACAAAGACACAGTGGCTTCTTTTTTTCCTAGTACATTTTGTATATAAGAAAATGTGGCTATAATTTTAGTGCTGTTGTGGGTTTTAAAGCACATAGTCCTTGAGTTTTGGTTAGCTCCTGGTTCAGTGAGGTGGTCCTGATTCCCTTGCCCATGGATTGTGCCCAGGCTGTCTGTGTGTTTGGTACAGCAGGGTAACTCTAGTGTTCAGCAGAGGGGTAGGAATGGATTCAGAGGTATGCAGCAAGAAGAAGGTACATGCCCAGCTAGGGCATTGTCACACATTTCTGTGGCTTCTTTATAGATACGGTTTGCATAAGGTGAAGATCTGTTCCTTGCGCTTTGGTAATAGCCTGGGGAGGTTGAAAGGATTTCTAACCTCACAGAATTATTTATTGGAAAGGAACAAGAGCTAGAAAAGCTAGAATTAAGAATCTTTTCTCCGTAGGTAAATTAATTATTATGTCTAAGCTTACCATCTGTTTCTGAACAGCAAAGCAAGTTATTAAATTTAATATGGGTATTTAGTGCATCATGTCTCAAAGCTAGCTGGTCTTGCTTAGTTGAGCTATGGCCCATTTCTCAGTGTGTGGGCTGTAGTGTTTTGTTTTTGGGCATTTTTTCCCTTTTTACTGTCAGTATATTCTGAATACATAGAGCTTAAAGAGTGAAATAGTTGATTTGGGAAACAGAGAAAGTTTTCTTAACAGCTGTTAATATTCTTAATGAACAAACAAGTCATGTGCTGACTGGGGCTTTTTATGATTAACATTAGGTTTTCTAATGACTGTCTATTTCTGTGTTAACATTTTAATCTGAGACCTAATATGCAGGATCATTACAAAGTCAAAGTCAACCAGTACACTGAGTGTGTGCTTAGTTCATTCAAAGGTGAAGCCAAGGGCATGGTAGCATGTGACATGTTCGTGTCTGCTGTTCACCCATTTTGCTGGATTTGGCACTAAGGCAGTAAGAGTCCTTTCCCTGCTATGAGAGACTCTTTTCTGTGGCTCCTGTCTTTTGACAAAAGTGACCCATTCCTATTAGCTTGATACTTACAAGGTATAATGCCATCATGTTCTAGTTTGCAGGAAGAATGTGCTTTTGAGGCAAACTTCTTGTGATCCCCACATGCCGTGCTTCTCATCCCAAGGTGGTCCTGGTGTGAATGCACTTGGGATCCTTTCAGACATCTGCTTAAACCATAAGATTCACTGCAGGAGCACAGCCCATGTGCTTCAGCTGCTAAGGGGTGGGAGCCTACTAGAGTTAGTCCAGAATATAAAATACACAAGATGCATGTAATGTGGACATGAGAACTTCATAATTTTTTGCTGCATGAGTATACCCCTGTTTCCCCAAACAATTTGCTAATGTCAAGGTAGTCATATAGTGCCACTTGTTTGGAATAGGAGTGCAACTCAAATCAGGAAATGGTATTTTCAAGTTAAAACACTTTGCTTCAAACCCTGTTCTTATTTATTAAATTTCCATGTACAATAATAACTTAATTTTCCTTGCTACCTCTATTATGTACTGAAGTTATTCACTGTCTTTTATGCATTCTCTTAAATATGTGGTCTCGTGATGTAGGCTTTGAGTCACACAATTTCAAGTAGTCTATATAAATAGTACAAATGGACGAGTCTTTTTATTTCACTCTTTGCTTGTATTTTCTGTTACAAGATCTTCCCCTTTTCCATCATCTGTTTGCTTTCCCTGTGTTTATGGATTTTCTCCTTTTAAAAATGGAAAACGGGGATTTATCATCCATTTAAAAATGGTTGTTAATATGATGAAAATGGTAATAGTAGGATAAAGTAGATATTTTTACAAAGCATTTGCATGACTTACTGGCTTATACAGGTACCTCATGTGGATTTTGAAACTTTTTCCTTTTTTCCTTCACCAGTGTTGACAAAATATACCCGTTCCTGTGCGCTAATGATTTTATCAGAGTGGCAGGATTCCAAGGGAGCAATAAGTTTGAATTACCTTATGGAATAAAGAAAGCAGGTTTGTATTTCCAATGTATCTTATTTTTAATCAGAAATGCCCAAATGGCTTGTAAAGCCACCTGAATCTTGGCCATGATCTTTCCTGTGTACTGAGCCAATCCTTTTGGGGTGTCCACAGTGTCTTAAAGGTTTCATTCAGTCCCTCTGTCCTGACAGCTTCCTGTTTTTAACAAGTGAAACACGATTGGGGTAGCCCCTTTTAGTAGAGAAGCTCCAAAAAGGTGTGAGTGAGTAAGAGTGGACTTTACGCAGCTCCTTCTGCTTGTGTGTAGGCTGGAGTGCTAAAGATACTGTGCTTTGCTAGGAGAAATACTGAGTCAGTGTGATGGGCTTCAGTCAGCACACCTAAGCTGGCTGGAATCCAGAGTTCTACTGAGGCAGAAGTCCTCAGGTTTAGGCAGTTACACCAGTGAATTTTTCCTTCACTCTCCTGGTTTTGACTGGAATCAAGTTAATTTTCTTCTTAGTAGGTGGTGCAGTGCTGTGTTATAGGTTGAGCATGAGAATAATGTTGACAACACATGAATGTTTTAATTGTTGCTAAGTAGTGCTTAGGACTTTGTAGTTTTTCATGCTCTGCCAGTGAGCAGGTGTACAAGAAGCTCAGGGGAGGATTGTCAGGACAGCTGACTCCAGCTGGAAAATGGTTATTCTGTGCCACGTGACATGCTCAGTTACTTACACTGGCAAGGAATTGTCCATGAGGGGCTTGTTGGTGCCTGGGAACTGGCACTGGCCAGTAGGCGGTGAGCAATTGTATTCTGCATCTTGTTTTTCTCAGGTTTTGTTCCCCATTCTCTTTCCTTTTCCACACAAATTTTATCTTTTCTGATTCTCCAACCCATCAAGGGGTGGACCCTGAGTGGCTGTGTGGCACTTATTTGCCATCTGGGGCTGAACCATGACACTGAGCTTGCTGCTTCTGTCAGGGAAGGTGTCACAGGGGCCTCAGTGGGGAGTTGATGACACTGCCTGGCTGTTGGACCTGTGGGAAGGTTGGTTGACACATTCCCACTGCCCTTGTTGGTCAGGCTGTAGTAAATAGGACCTACACCCTAAGGTGGCCTTAGCTTTTGGAAAAGTTTGTAAAGAGTCAAATTTCAGAGTTTCTAACACTAACAGTGCACCTTCCTATTCTGACCTTTTTAGACTTTTGATTTGCCCTCCATTGGTGGTAACAGGGATGGTGCATTTTCCTGCACTTCGAGCTTACAGTGAGGAAAACTACATTTGGGAATGAGTTGATTCCTCCTCTGAGGCAGGTGCAGTGTCCAGCAGGAGCCTGCCCACCAGGGATGGGCTGGGAAGGTGCCTCTGTCAAACTTTGCCACAGGCTGGATTGATGTCTTCTCCAAAGATACATAATGCTGTTACTGTCCCTGGCTGTATGAACCCTCCTGAGTCAGCTGAAGGTGGATAGAAGAAATAACAAAGTCAATTAGGATGTGGATCTTGGAAATTTGTCCGGTTCTTATTTACTGTAATTAATATTTACTTTTTTTTAAATACAAATCTCATGCTATTTTGTATTTTGAGGCAGAAAAAACTCAGAGGAGCTTTGATAAACCTCAATTTCTTTGGCGTCATTAGTTGATCTGTGGCACTAAATTCCAAGTGTTCTTATTTTCATGTTTTTATGCACAGTGCACTACTGTGTTTAAAAACATTGTGGTCAGGGTGACATGCTTATTTTTGTATTGCAAATACTGAATGTTTTCATTAATCTTGTTTATATTTGCTTTTTAGAGCAATTTTTTCGTTTAGCCCTTTCAAGACTGCAGAACTGTGGCCTTCCCAGTGAAGAAGACAGGTCAGATGGTTTATTTGCTATTGTTTCTGTTAGTTGCATTTTTAATATTTAGTACTTACCTGAAAAGGAATGTCTGTGGGGTTATCCTGAAATTGCTCAAGTTAGTCAAGACGTGGAGCAGACTGACAGGGTCCAAGTAGTGTGTAGCTGATTCCAAGATTTAAGTAGGCTTTGTTTTACACTTCAGTAGCACCAGCATGCACCAGCAAGAAAAATTCTTACAGCTCTGTGAGAGAGCGTTAACTTAGAGATTTCCTTTTATAAGTGTGTTAGAAATTCACCAGCTGAATGCAGTCCCATCTTCCTGTAGTATCCTTTTATACTTAGATTGAATGTGACCTCCTCTGGCAAATTCAGTGTAACATGGAGAATGTTTGAGATAGGCAGGTGCAAACCAATGTCTGCTTCTAAGCAGAAGAAATCTTGGGCGTATCCCTGTGCCTGTGCATCCGATGGCTGCTGTGCACCCTTGTTCCTGTGTACTCTACTTGCTCTCCTTGTGGACGAGGGAGACCTAGGAAGACAGGAAAGGCCTGGCTGTCCTTTTGGGAGTGATAAGGGTGTGGCACGGAAGGGAGGCACATGCCTTAGATGATTTACCTCCCATGGATTAGATAGATTAAATTAGATTAAATCTTTAATTAGATTAAATCTCTTGTTGGAAGCCATATCTGTCAGGAAGTTTTGTTTTGTTTGGAAGGGTGTTTGAGTGTCTTGTTTTTTGTTTGGCTTTTGTTGGGATTTTTTGTAGGTAGGGTTGGCAAGTAGACTGAAGTCCTGTGTTTACAAAGTGATGCAGATAACTCTTTAGATTTGCAGTCTAGCAAATGGGCTGACAACCTGCCAAATGTGATGTTAATATACAGACTTCTTAACAGAGTTGAACAAAAATAACATGGAGGTTGGCTGTACTTGTTCTAGTTTTTTAATTACACATCATACAAGATTGCTGCTTGAAGCCAAGTGTCAGGATCACAGTTGAAATAAACATGGGTGGAATATGTTCAAACCTAAGAATTTGTTTTAATACAGTTTTTCTTTTTTTCCCTACTGTACTCCTTTCTTTCTCTGTGTTTAGTCATCTTTCTAGGATGTTCAGGTTTACTTTTAAGAAAAGGAAGGCAAAAAGTAAAACACTATTTTCTGTCAGGAGTGTAATAATGGAGTAAATTTATACAGAATTGGCTAACAGAAGCTGCTCTTCTGTCTGGATTTTGAAGGAGAGTGCCAACTGTTGTATTAGAAATTCCCTGAAACTGTAAGTCAGGACCATAATTGTTTGTGCTGTAATGGAGAGGTGCTTGTACCTTTTTAAATGGAAATGCCTGCCCTGTAGATGAAAAGTGAGGAAATTTGTATTCATCCTTTGAATGTAGATTCTCTGAGATGTAGATGTGGTTAGTAGTTCTGGGAAGTATGCTTCATTTTATTAAAAGTAATATACTTCAGTGGTACTGAAGCAAAATGAGAGCTATTACTATTTAATAGGCAGTAATATAAACAAATCAAGCACACAGTGACATCATAGAATATATTCTTTGTAGATCCACCAGGTTTTGTGTACAGCACTCTCAGGGCATGAAACACTGTAGTTGGAAAGAGTTTTTATGCATATATTTCACTGAGATACAGTGGCTTTTAAAAGTGAAGCTCTAGGAATTAATCTTAACAATGTTCTCCAGTAATACAGAATTATTAAGCAGCTCTGTAATGCTGTTGTCCAATTTAGCCTTCTTGGCAGAACACAAACCAGATAAAGTCTTTGGTGCTTATATAGCTGTATTTGTGTACAACTTAGGTAAATCTGTACAGTGAGGTACAAAGATTTTTTTTTTCCCAGTGTCATTTTCCAGACTTAGGTCAAATTCTCGCTGTGTAAAGGTGTAGCTCTCCTGAGGAGTTTGGGACTTGTTGAACAGTGTCACTGATTTCAGTTGAGTTGAGACTTCAGTCCCTCGCTGAGTACTCTGAGGACTCTCAGCTCAACAATTACTACAAATGCATGTACAGAATCCTGAGTCAACAAAATGTGACCTCTGCATCCTCCTTTCACCAAATAACCTCAAAGGAAATAATTTGCATTCCTCAAGTGACTATGGGGGTGTGTGTTAAAGGAGCTGAGTCTGAGATTTCTTTTTTCATTTTCCAGTGAAACAGTATTTCAGTGGAATGTGGAGGATGCAAACCTTTTGACCTTCAGAGGCTACATTTCCATTTAGCAATATTTTTCTTCTGTAGACTAGGAAAATGTTTCTTTTAGCATTTCGCCATATAAACAAAATATATAAGCCAAGACCTGGCCTTGAGATTGAGGCTCTTGTACATCACCTGAATAGGGCAGTGATTTGAGTGACTACTGCCTGCAGACATTGGAGATCAGTTACCATGGTGTTTGCACTGGGATCCATTTATACTCTTAGTAGATCTCTGACACATGAAGGCAATCCCTTTGTTACTCAGGCCTTTCCTACAACTGTTGTTACAGCCAAGATCTTAATATTTTTCACTGTCACCAATACTGTGCTACTGATTGTAAACTGAACGTCCAGATCTTGCAATCCGTTATATTTTACTTGTAGCACACCTGATGTTGTTTAAGGATATTGAAACTAATTTCTCTAATAACTAATAACTAATATATTGACTTAGAGAAAGTGTGAGTGTTTGGGGTTGTTCAATTTGAAAGCATCATGAAAAGGCAAATTTAAGAAGTGTTGTTGGTAAAATATCTGGGAGTAACAGTCTGCTGAAAATTGGTGTGTTGTCCTCTGATCTGCTGGAAGTATAGGTCAGTTGATTTAACTTAAAAAATACATAGTAAAGCTGAAGTGCATTTAAAGGTTCATATCTCTATGCCATGTGTTAGTTTTCTATGATACTATGCTCTGATTTTTTACAGAAACAGTTTCCCTCCCAGCTTATTGTTATGTGTACTACTGTCAACTTAAGACTTAGGATCATAACTGAAGACATTTGAGTACTGGGAGGGGAAGTGTAAGGCGAGGACGCAATTCAGAAGCAGCACATTTGTGCCAGACTTCCTATTTGAGCCAGCCCACTTTGATTCCCTGAGCCTGACAGAGATTAAAATCTGGTTGTTTTAATTTGTTTGACTGTACCTGTGTACACTTCTTCAGGCATATTTGATCTGCTTGTTGACTTTACACATTTCAAAAGTTCAAATACTAATGTTAGATTCTTTATTGGGTGTTTGATGGCAGCTGATAACTTTGTTTTTTTAGTATGCATGGCATATGAAGGACGCTGTAATTAAAAAACTTAATCAAAGTTCAAACTTCACTGTGTTTTCTGTCCAAGTAGTACTAGTCAACTCTTAGTCATAAACCAAATCTAGTCTGCATTCATCAATAAGAAAAAAGAGCTTGAATTTGACTTGAGAATAGCTACACAACTTCTTGTAGCTAAGCAAACCTCAATTGCTCAGCTCTGAAGTCACTTTTTTTTTTTCCCTCCCTGCCCTGTGTCCTGCTGCATCATGATTACAGAGAGGAGAAAGCAAAGACCTCTTAATTGTATACCAGAGTGGAAGGCATTATTTCATTTGGTAGAGATTAACTTACTGAACAAGTATCTTAAATCACCTCTTTGAAAAGTTGAAAGGTATGTAATAAGGAATTACTTTAAATTTATCTACAAGGAACAGGAAAAGCAGTGCCTCCTCAAAGTAAATGCCAGGACACATGATATAACTACATGCTGATCTTGTGCTTTTTGCCCCTCTCCCTCACTCCACCTTCATCACTTACTGATTTTTTTCATCCATTTTTCCCTTTTCCTTCCTTACTTTGAGCTCTAAGCTATAGCTATAAGCAGCAAAGTGTAATTCAGGAAAAGGGTAACTTGTGCTTTCTTACTCCTGCTGTAAATTGCAAGAGGCGTGTGTTCATCAGCCTGCTTCCTTAAGATACTTTCAAACTAGATGGAAAAATTAAGTGGAAAATGAATGGGCAGAAGGAGTAGAGAGGGAGGGGGTTTAGAGGTGTAGAGGGAAGGAGGAGTCTACTTCAGACAGGATGGTATAACAGGTTTTCACCCCTCTGATTTTCAAGATACCAGGTCACATGAGTTATGGTATTAGCTGGAAGTCTTTTTGTGAATGCTTGCCTTCTACTAAGCTGTTCAGGAAAAAGTAGAGAAAGGTATGCCAGCTTTTTTATGTCACCCACCCCTGAAAGCTGCATTTAGAGTACTTTTTTTTTTTTATATATATATGCATGTGTGCATATATATACATGTATGTATTTAAAGGCAAGTATCTCTGCAGATGTTATTTATGTAGGAAATTCAGAGAACTGCTTTGTATGTTGAGATGTTGCTCAGTCTTGGCTGGATCCAGCTGTTTTCATTGATGTTGAATAATAACTCTCAGCTGAAAAAACAGGTTGGACTATTGGAGGAGAAAGAAGTTAATTAGTCTGCATGGAGCGCCATGCTGGGAATTCAGTATAATTTATAGTGTTTTTTGGGACATGGTTTTGGTGTCCTGAACCTGCAGCAGGAAGTGTCATAGAGCCTTTTTCTTACTTGAAGATAGAACCAAAGGAGTGGGGTGTTACTGTGAGGTGACTCATCCTCAATAAACTGTGAGCTTGCTTGTGTCTGAAGAAAATATCAACGTTTTTATTTTCTCATTGTTCCTGTTAAAACCAAATTGAATGGCTTTTTTTCTGAACAAAGAAGCATTTTTACAACAACAACAAATGATGTGCTTGTTCTGAAAGGAGTTTACAGTCTTACATGTTTAATTAAACCTTCCCTAAAAAGGCAAAATTTCTTGAGTAAAAAAAACCCAGCAAGCCTGTTTGTGAGCTTCCTCCCCCTTTTTTCTAACATGTTTTACTAGCATTGAAACAAGATGGTAAAAAGCTAAATATGCACTGAGAAAACCTCTGATAACTTGGAAACTCTTACCATTAGAATTTACTTTCATAAGTTTAGCATCTCCATAATACCTGTTTTGTGTGCTTTTTATCTCTGAATGTATTGTAAATTCAAAATTACTGTTTTGATTTGTTGTAGTATAAGATCTTATTTTTTACCACATAGTATTTTATATGCCTCGTAATGCTGTTGGATTTGAATCTGGTCATATGAGAATGCAACTTTTAATCAGGGAATCCATCTTGTTGTATCATGACAGCACACATCACTTGTTTAAACATGTTTAGACAACACCTTTTAAGTAGAGGGAGAAAAATCCACACCATATTCATTTGAAAAGTTCTCCTGTGTCATTGGGCTAAGATTTTTCACGTGTACAGTTCATAGGCCTGTAAGGTGAATTGTGAACATAAATTTTGCTGCTTTAGCTTGTGTTGGAGATGTGGAATTGTATAATATTGCAGAAACATCTTAATACTGAGTTAGCTTTTCCAGACTGGGACAAGTTTGAAGGACTGCAGAGGATAATTTATCAAATGGCACCCATATCATCAACTGGTTAGATAACCTTAAACAGCAGACCATTAGAAAAAGGAGATGTGTAAAAACAGTTTCACAAGAGAGGAGCCAGTTACTGACTTTGTCAGTCCCTGAAATAGTGCCTTTTTTTCTTTTTTAAAGCAGCCATAGTACATGATACATGATACAGGATTGAATCTGCTTTGTAGGGGCCAAGGGCTGTAAAAGATACAGGACCTCACTAAGAAAATAAGCCAATTAACATGCAGAGGGATAATTAATAATATGAAGCCAGAGAAGTAATCAATATTAAAACTTCTCTTTGTTCCACAGCATTGCCTGTCGACGGTGTGTTGTGGTTGGTAATGGAGGAGTACTTCGAAATAAGACATTAGGGGAGAAAATTGACTCATATGATGTCATAATAAGGTAAATGCTATCTTCTGTCTCCTTTTCATTTTGTGTGCATGGAGCAATAGGTAATTCTCCAAGGCCAGGTACTCTCTCTGCCCTTCTCTAGTGTCTGTGTTGGAGCCAAATCAGAAGGTTTGCTTTCTGCTTGAGTGACACACGATAAGCAATTGTGATTGTATTCTAAACCACCTTGGCCAAGTTCCTTTGTCTGCTTAATCCCTCTGACTTTAGAGGGTGAGTGCACCTGATAATTGCTCCTCTGCTGTGTAATGTGATATGTAAATTCTGGGCTGCTAGACTTTCCTGTACCCAGACAGAATGTCTGGCCCGCAGACTAGTAACAGGTGTGTCAGCCACTGTACAGTAGGAACATGGGTGGGGCAGTCACTGATGTCTCTGTGCCTCTGTCCTCTGCAGAATGAATAATGGCCCTGTGATAGGGTACGAAGAGGATGTTGGGAGGAGGACGACTTTCCGCCTTTCTTACCCGGAATCCATCTTCTCAGATCCCATCCACTACGACCCTAACACCACTGTTGTTCTCATTGTCTTCAAACCACGGGACCTGAAGTGGCTTTGGGAGATACTTGGTGGTCAGAAGATAGTGAGTTCAGTTATTCATGTGCCTTGGCTCATCTTGCCACACATCTCTTATGTGAAGTATATGTTTGCTTATAACCGTGGTCCTCCCAGCTAAGAGGAGTTCTCAATCTCCTCCCAGTCAGTTTATTGAATATTCCTCTTCCATAAATGCTTTGTCTTCTTTCTAATGCACATATTTGATCAGTTCCTCACCACAAAGCAGTTTACCTCTGGGAAAGGTATTTTTATCCTTTCCCTAGTGTTGTTTGATATTTTAACGTGCATGCTCCAGACATTTCCCAGATTATTTTACCCTGCACACTTGCAGGAATTGCAGAATAATGTTTAAAGTGACCTCTCTCAGGTGGTCTTAAGTCTAAAATCTTTTTGAATTGTCTTCATTAAGGGCCAGGTTCAAAGCCATGCCGGGTTCTCAGGGCATTGGCTGAGTACATTTTGAGTATTTCCAAGGATATTTCAACAGACTTTGTTTCAGTGTTGCAGCGCACACGCAGAAGAGAATTTCTCCTTGTCCCTTCACTGTGTGCCTCTGAGAAGAGTGTGAGCTCATCTTTGTTAACCCCTTCCAGATACTTGAAGATAGGCTGAACACACCCAGTCTGCTCAGACCTTTTTTGTTTGCTATGAGCTCTGGCCAAGGAGTGACCTTCTGCTGTTAGACATTCTCCTGTGCAGAGGGGAGCCCAACACAGCATTTGTGGGACTACAGGAAGGGCACAGTGCAAAGTGCTTGAGAATGATAACTTCTGTCCGCCTGTTATCTGTGCTCTTACTAATGTGGCCAGCACACAGTGAGCTTGTATGGTTGGTACATGTTGTCTTAACCAGGGACCTTTCTGCAAAGGTCCAAAAGCTGATTTCCAGCCAGCTGGTCACTGCTGCAGCACTGGGTTATCCTGTTGCAGGAGCAGGTGGTTTTGAACTTAGGGAGATTCAGCACTCTTCTTTTTCTTTAACCCCATGCCCTTGGAGTTTACGCTGGTTAGAGCTGCTACAAAACTAAATTCAACTGTTCTTAGTTGTTAAAAATGTGTATTTACTTGCCTGTCACAGAGTGCGAAGGGATTTTGGAAGAAACCGGCTCTGAATATGATCTACAAATCAAGTCAAATCAGGATTCTTGATCCCAGCATCACCAGGAAAACTGCTTATGAGTGGCTTCATTTCCCAACAAGGTTTCCTAAGAAGGAGGTATGCTTTTTTCTTTTGTCCCCTCTAGTTTTGTGCAACCAAATGTGTATTTAGAGGCAATTATATCTTTATTACAGTAGACTGTAATGTAGAAAACCTTTTAGGTTTGCAATAAAGTAGCTTGCCATTTAGATGGTACTTAAAAAAGATGGGAAAATGGAGCCCAGAAAGAGAGTGGTTAGCTTTGTGTGCCAGAAGTACCTTTTTATGGGTTCTGTAATTGGTATGAATTGAGGCTGCTTTCTAGACAGACAAAATGCCTTTAACAGAACTGGGGAAGACAGGCAGGTAATGCAGCATGACAGATCCAAAGATCTTCTAGAAATAACAGGGAGTCTTGAACTACTGAATGTTGGGTGTTTTTCTTAAACCCAAGGCACACAAAACAACAAACAGACAAAAAACCCCAAACAAACAATGAAACCTCCACCAAAAACCAAAACACCAAAAATAACCCACACCAAACAACACCCATTCCACCCCCGAAACCCCAGCAAACTGGTAATTCTAACTTTGCTGCAATTTCACCCTCCTGGGGCTGGGGAGGGACGAGGGAACATTGAGGATATTCCAGCCCTGTGCTAATGGTGAATGGCTGGCAGCATGGTTGTGCTTACTGATTTGATGCCAAGCATTGTAATGAGCTAACCAGCAGTTTGGACATAAAAATACATTTCAGTTGTCAGTTCTTGACTGAAAAATGTTTTTGATGAAAGGTGACACTTCAAGCTGGGGAGGCCTGCCTTGTGCAGTCAGGATCAACTGTTTTGCACAGAGACAGTCCCTGGGGTCACATCCGCAGTTCACCAAGACCACCCAACTGACACGTGTGGAAATGTCTGACAGGCTGTCACTGTGGAGTATCTGCCACAATTTTTTTCTGGTTTACTCTTTATAATATAATATTTGATGGGTGGAGGGGGCAGGTTCTGTACCTCCGTCTAAAATTTCTTTCTGTGTTCTGAGCCTAAGAATGGCTTTTTTTCTCCTTTACTAATTCTCAAACTGGAATAGTCATTTTGGCAATGTGCTTGCTTGGGCCTCTATGGCATTTCAGCTTTTCAGCCGAGGGTGGCAAGAAAGCAGCATAGTCATTGGATGCCTGACTGATCTCCTAAGTGGCCACAGAACATGCATGGCCTCCATGGGTCCAGAAATCCCTCCTGTCTCTTCTGGCTCCCCTCTCAGTGGGAGTAGACGTTAAAAGCAGTGCTGTCAGTGAGTTAGAGAGATGTGTGTGGTGTCAGCTGGTAGAGGCCCCTTGGTCACCCTTTGTTCCTCTGGTACCTTTGGGTGCCCCTGCACAGAGCTGGCTTAGTGTCACAGTGCCTAGAGTCCCCTTCTGCTACCTCCATATATATCTTACTTGTTGCATGCCAGGGGATCTGCAGTCCCTCATCCATGTGCAGCAAATGATCAGTCTCAAGCGTGCTCTTCCTCCCGTCTTGGAGGTGGGCTGTGGCTGGGAGCCTGCACATCTGCAGCGACAGGTTGCACATCTGCAGCAGCCCTGGCACAGCTTGGTTAAGCTTCAGGTCACACCAGGGGCTCCCATGGGCAGGAAGGTGTCACACCAGCGTCCTCTGCACCATTGCTCGTCCCTGGGGAGGGCTGCTGCTGTCCTGTGCTTCAGCCCCCTCTGCCTGCGGGAGATGCCAGCGACCACTGTTGCTTTCCCTGCTGTCCCTGCCTTCTCCATTAAACCAGTCTCACGTTCCCAGTGTGCACATTAGTGCATAGCCAGCAAGCATTACCGATTGTTAGTAGAGCCAGGAATAAAATCAGATGCCTCAGCACCACTAAACTCAGGAAGTGTAGTGGAGCCATTCCAGGGCTGCACCTACTCCCATTAAGTAGGCTGAAAATATTTAATTACAGACCAAGGATATCTGCATGTTGCATGACAGCACATTTTAAAAGTAGTTGCTTTTAAATTACATTCCTTAGAGGTGAATTTTCTGATAGCTGAAGGTGAACAGAGCTAGTTATAACCTGTGATATTCCCAAATATCCCTGATCCTGACATGCAGCATTCCTGCCATAGTTTTGGGATCCTGTTTAGTATGGATGTTGCAACAGTCACCACTAAGTTTATGAAGTTGGGCCCCTAGGGCAGAAAGTTATTTTGCTAAGTGGCAGGAGCCCTGGGTGTAGTGCACATTTTAAGCAGATACTATTTCTGGAATACTCCAAGAGTTGCATAAAGGTACCAAAAATTTTTCTGTAAAAGGTGATAGTTCTTTTCTGTGACTTAAGTTAGGCTTAAGGATTGAGAACAGTAACTTCCTTCTGGGTATTTTTTGTGTTGTCATATGATGTGTTGTCACAAAGAGATACATGGAGTGCATCTGCCTTTTCTGTGCGCAGAGTTGTCTAGTGGTGGTTTGTCTGTGTCTTCTTCACAGACAAACTGAGCCTTGGGTCAGAGTTAGGAAAAAACCACAAGATTTTGTGCTCAGTTTGGGGTCTGACTGCAGCTGCTGAGAGCATATAGCTCATTTGGTCTCTGAGAAGAATCTTACTTTAGCTAAGAAGGATATTGGTACCTGAAAGTCTTGTCCGTTTCTGGGGCCACTTTTTCACCTTAGCTTCATCTTGGTCAAATTAATGAGTTCATCTCTCTCTAAAAAAACTTGCTTCATTTACTTCCCCAGATCATATTAGCCTCTGCTGCCGCTAAAGAAGTCATGTATCTGAGCACAAGATAGGGCAGATGGTTGCATGGAGTTCTTTTGTGAGAATTGCTACCTTTTTGCTTAGGTGCTCTTGATTTTGCGCAGTTAAAACCTGTTTATTACATGCTCTTCATTTTACATTGCTTTTACTTCTGAACTTACTGTAGAGGAGAAATGATTTTATTTACAATTTTGTTTCTTCTAATGGGGATAGCTGGGGAAGGTCTAAAGCAAAATTCTTGTGGAATTTCCCTGCTTTGAAGAAAGGCAAATTGAGTCAAATTTGTGTAGCAGTGGCTTTCATGCTTTTTTAGTTTGTTGCTATGAAAATTTGGGCATATCGTGTTCTTTTCATCTGGGTCCCCATCATCTAGAAACTTCTGAACACGTCTCATAATTCAGTCAAATTTGAAGGGGTTGTAAATTGTTTTCCAGCATAGTGAAGCATGCTCAGTTTCATGAAAGTAGCTGAGCAGAGCAATGGGGAGACCATCCTGATGCTTCTGTGGAGGGAAGGGCTCAGCCTGCACTAGAAACCAAGGAATCCCAGTGAAGGCTGACATGACAGACACACCCTGGTCATGGAAACCTGTGGGGGCAGTACCTTATTCCTTTAGAGGCAGGAGGGGATCAACCTGTGAAACCAAATATCTGTAGAAGACCCAGGCTGTTTGATTTCCCTTGTCTCTGTTCTTAAGTTCTCTGTTCCCATCAGGCTACCAGGTAGTTATTGTGTGTTCTCTTTGTGTTTTGTTATAGAAACCCAAGCATCCAACAACGGGGTTAATTGCCATTACGCTGGCATTTCACATATGCCACGAAGTCCACCTGGCAGGCTTCAAGTACGACTTCACTGACAGAAATAGTTCTTTGCACTACTATGGCAATGAAACCATGTCTCAGATGATGCAGGTAACTAACACTTGTTTGTGCTGAGAAAAATAGAGCTGGTAACTGGAGAAGGCAATTCAATATAGATAGAAGTGTGAACTGCAGGTCAGAAAGGCCTCCCACCATCTCCTGGTTCAGCTGTGTCTTGTGGGTTAACATTGCTTGAATCTCTTTGTCTGCTGCTGTTTCTGAAAAATGTAGATACTGATCTTTGTGTCCCTTGTGCTGTACCATATTCTGCAATGTCTGGATGAGATGTCCATTTGTGTATTGTGTTCTGCTTTGCTGGTGTTTCCCTTAGGCTGCACAACTCTTTTCCTAGAGATGTTAGCACTGTCAGCACATGAGCAGTGCTGTTTCTGCTCGTGTTCTCTTTTTCCTTGGCATACTTGTACTGTATATCATAGCTGTCAAACTTCTTAAGAGACAAAGAAGAGCAAAAGGGAATGGAAGGAGTTAAGACCTATGAACTTATATAGGTCTTGCATGGGAAAAGAAATTAATTTTGGAAACTGGAAGTAGAAAAGATAAGCAACTCTTGGAGGCAGGTAGGAAGAGAAGGAACTGCTTCCAGGAGGGGGGTAGTCACAACTCAGCAGGAGAGGGAGCAGCAGGAGGCTGGAAAACATCAGGAATGCCTTCTCCTCCCTGCTGCTTGGCTAAGGCCATCCCTCTCTTTTATGTCTCTGCTCTTGTATTCAGTTGCCTTAATCTCTGTATTTCAAGCAACCCTGTGTCAGCCCTTCACAGCAGTGTGAAGTTTTCTTTTGCATATGCATTGCATGTGGGTACCATTTTCTTTCTCTTCCATTTGCTGAAGAGGAAGGGTAGAGACAGTGCCCACAGGAGCCTTTCATGTTTCTCTCAGAACTCCTAGATGCCTGCTATTCTGAGATAATTTTCCTCTGACACTGAACTTGCCTTCCTCTGGAGGCTCCTCTCTGCAGGTGCTTTTTTGCAACATACACTAAATTTGAGTAAGGTTGATCATTAGCTGAATAGACATCCATAAATTTTCCTAAAGTCTTGAAACTTTAAAAACAAACCATTAAACAAAAATGTTCCAGTTAGTTCTTTTGTGGTAATAAATTGCAAATACTATACTACATCAGTATAATCTTTTATGCAGTGTTTGTATTATATTCATTTTTATTTACAGGATTCAGTGTCATAAGAAAATTAACTTTTCTTGTGCTGCCCTCCACTAACCTTAGTGGTCTCTTGTGTATCCAGGAACTGGATAGAGCACAGAAGATGAGTTGGTTTGGGCTTGCTAAAGCTAATTGGCAGGATGCATCTGAACCACGAGTGCCTGTTGTGCTTTTCAAGAACCTGCACTGAGCTTTGAGGATTACTTACTTTCTGACTGCTTGTGCTGTAAATGTGGTTACACAGCTGTTGCTCTGAATAAGCAGGGCAAGGAGTTGGGAGAGTTAATAATTCTGTGAGACCACATTTCACCTGTTCTTATCACTGTTACCATTGCTTTTAGTTGCATCCTTACAGAAATATCTAATCTAGTTTTGAGCATTTTCTTGGGAAACTGTGCTAGCCTTTGCTAAGGTGTCTTTTCCCCAGACCTTTTCTGTTCTTAGCATCTTCCAAGTATCACAGATAATAGAAAGGAACAGCCAAGTGATGCTGCTGGTTATAATTTGATTTTATAATTAATTTCATTATTCCCTCGCATCTCTTTAGAATGAATACCACAACATCACTGCTGAGCAGAAATTTTTGAAGAAGCTTATAGACAAGAACTTTGTGGTCAATTTGACGTGAAAGCTGAATGGAAAACACAAAGAACAATCACTATTTTCAAGATTTGAAAAATTTTTATTTTTTGTATGACATTTTTATTTTTTAAGTGCAGCATAACTGTTTACTGTTTAAAGGAGCCCAGAAACCTCATCAAGGCAAAAGCTTCTATGCCTGAGGATAATGGACTATTGCAAACAGAGTTAAATGAATTTCTGTGAAGCTATTTAATAGGGGGAAAACCATGAAACTTTCAATTGAAAGTATCAGGGATATATAAAAACGTGATGTACGTCACTTACTTACCAGTGAGAACTCTTCTCAAATGGTTAATTCTCTGGAATACTTTTGTTTCTGATGTTGTCCTCCAAGAGAGTTCCACTGTCAAGAGACTGAGATGACCGGTGTTCAATCGGTAGGTGGATGTAAAGTCATGAATATCTGTCTTGTATGAAAACGGCTTTAAAACTATGCATCAAAATCATTACTGTGATTGGAGAAGGGGGAACATAACAGACTGTGCAGGTCTTGTTCTGCCATACTCCTGAGGAGAGGATGTCCACCTTCAGCCAAGCAGCCACAGCTTCTGCACTGACCATCACCTCTGAGCTTCTGTCTGCCTCTGCCGAAGTTGAAGACCCTTGGTCCAATTTGTGGAGAAGTTGGTGTTGACGGTGCTTGTGTTGTACCTATTTTACGGAAAAATCATACTCCCTGTGCTGTGCATCCAGTAAATTCTACACTTGCTGACTTGACTTAAAAAGAGGGAATATGAAGACTGAAGAGCTGTCCAAACTTCCTGCGTGTCAGCTCCCAGACCACAGCAGAAACCCAAGCTTGGACAGAGATGCTCATGCCTGAGTTTAGAGTCAATGTTTGTTGGAGTCCTAGTTCTCCATGACAGCATCTCATGTATTATTTTGTTTGGTCCTCAAAAACAGGTGGATTTTTCCAAACAAGGACAACCTCCTTCCTCAGATGCTGTAATACATCAATACAAGCAAGGAATACTCCCATTTTTGGCAGTAGAGTGTGGTAGGGAGTATCCAGGATGTACCTCAGCTGAATTATCATTTGGCATCTGTTTACCTCTTTTGTCTTGATATTTAAGTTTCAAGTGCGTGGCTGAACTAAATCATTCAGTAATAGGAACTTAATTGACCTTTTAATTGAAACATTTAATGGGATGTCTGTTTCCTGTATTGGTTTGTCTCTGACAAGCCTATGAATAAATTAAATCTTCCTGGGAAGGCGCCTGACAACTGTCAAAGAACAACAGTATGCTGTCCCAGTTCTCTCACAGGACACCTGTGTAAAGTTTTTATTTTAATTATGGCAGAATTCCTGGAAGATCTTGTGGTTATCTTCAGCAATCATACCTTAAGAAGGCAAAAATAAGTCCACTTAAAAAAAGTCTTTGAAGTTGGTAGGAATACCATTATTGCTTTTAAATAAAATTATATAGAGGGTACATTTAGGAATAATGCAAACAATTGTGATACGAACATAAACCATGGTATTTGTTATTTTCAGAAGCTGAGAATTTCAAGAGTACTGAACACAATTTATTTTGCTGCAGCTATATATAGAGGAATAAGCATTGAAGTAACCAAAGAGTCATCTTTCTTGTGGGGTGCAGGGGTACTTAAAAAAACCCAACAAAACCACAAACACCTTCCCATAGTTCTCGTTTCCAGCTTTAGCTCCTTGGCTCTGCCATTTGGGAACTAGGGAGGGCAGTATGGTCTGGAGAGGTGCCAAAGCTGAAGGGGAGGAGGCTTGTGTGATTCCTGAGTGATGCATCACCTCAACTCGGTGATTCCTGAGCTTTGGTCTATTTCCAGCAGGCTGGACATACCTGAAATAACTCAAGATGTCAGAAAAATCTGTTGCATGAGGTGGGTAAGGATGCAGGTGTGTCCCAGCAAGGCACAGGGTGTGCCATGGTGTCTTGTCTGCTGTGTGTCCCATGGGTGCAATTGCACTCCAGCTGTGTGCAGGGTGGCAGGTGGGAGTGTGGAGGAGAGGGGAGAGTGTGGGAGGTCCTGGGGCACTGGAACAGGTGACTCTGGTGTTGGAAATGGAGGAAATCACAATTTCTTCACCATCTGGCAGAAGGGCTATTAACTTTTTGTAATTTTTATTTTTTCCCAAGACTTTGAAGAGGTCTTTGCTTGAAAATCTGAATACAAAAAAGTGGGGTTTCACTTAAGAAAATAATGACAGTATTGTCTTTGTCGCTACCAGTATTTAATTCTCCTGGTTATTTTGTTTAATTAAAAAGGTTTGTATATGATTCTACAGCCCCAGATGTACAGTGATTTAAACTCCTGACAATAATAATTCCACCTGCAAAAGTTGCTGTGGCAAGGCTTTTTGCAGACATAGCAGTGTTTTCCAAGCTGTTGCTGTGGAGGAGTCCCTGGTAGATCTTGGACTGTGTTGAGAACCAAGGCTGGCAGAAGTGGGGGGCTGCCCCTTCACCCTCAAAATGCACAATTGCTTCCAGAGCTGGCACCCCCAGCTCTCCCAATGGCTGCTGCCACGGTCCAGCTGCATCCATGTAACGTCTTACAGGATGCTGTGCAGGAGGATTTTTTTCCCAGGAGAACTGTTGAATTTGTTTCAGACACTCTGAGGAGAGTTCTTGTGATGGTGCACACTGCATCCCTCTACTTCTCCACCCCTGTCTCCAGTTCCAGGAAGTGGGTAGGGAGCTCTGCTTTTGAAGATGTGGTTATTTTCTCTGCTTTATTTCTTCTCCAGAGGTACTTTTCTCACTAACCTAAACTGATTCCTTCTCCAGTTTTTCTAGCAGATTTTCTGGTTTTTGTGGGGGGATGGGATTTGGATTCTAGCTGTAGCAGAACAAACAAAATAATAGAAACAAAAAAAGCAGCTTCATGGCAAAAAAATGGTGTCTCCCAAACTCTTTGTACTTAAAAAAAAAATCCCTTTAGTCTTTTTTACTTTTGCCACATCAACTTTTTGATCTCCCTAAAATATTTTTCTAAAATAATGTTTGGTGTTCTCGATGAATTTAATATGTTCCCTAAAAGCATTTGTCCATACCAGCTCTTTCTTTTTACATCCTAATAAACCTTCCCATTGTATGACTGTCGTACTTTTCAAATTAAGCAGTATTTTCAGGGATATTTTTCTCCCACTTCTGTGCTCCTGCCAGGGGCATTAAGTCCACCATAGTTACTGTCCCAGGGTGACTGGGTAATATTTTGAACGAAACCCATTCTCTCAGGATCAAGCCAAGAGCTGATGCTGCTTGTAAACCATGTGGTTTTTTGGTTGGTTAGTTGTTTTGTTATTTTGTTTTTTTTTTTTTTAAGTTTTGTTTTATTGTTTTTGTTGGGGTTTTGTTTGAGTGCTTTTTTGTTTGTTTTTGTTTTTTTTGAAAGCCCAGTTTGCAGGCCAGTAGCATTTCTCCTCAGTCATAAGTAAAGTAGTAAGTAAAGTCTCCTCAGTAAAGCTAGGTACTGACTTTTTTTTCCCACAAGATATTTTTTAGGATCCTGTGTACACCAGCTCTGCTCCACCACCTGCTTCACGCACATCATTTCTGATACTCTGCCTCGAGGATGAGTCTTGCTTTGGCACTAACTTCATTCAGGCAGGAACACCCACGTGTAGTGTTTCCCAGCAGTGCTCACAGGTTACACTTCTATTCTGCCTGAGCACACATTTTCACAGGTGTTTTGCAGTACCAAAGACTTGACTTAGGGCTTTTAGAATAAAACAATAATGCTAACACCAAATATTTAGATGGTTTCTGAGTGTGGGCTGCTATTAAGACTTTCTTTTTCCCTTTTTGCCATTACTGAAAATGAAATCTCTGCACTGAAACTTCCCTTTAAAACCTGTCCAGTCTTTTTTTTTTTTTTTAAATTACATCGGGTGTGAAGCTGCCAGCTTTATTTCTGTGTCTGATAACAGTGTAACTGTGTAGGTCCCCAGTGTCTCCCATCATTTTTCTACCTGAAGTCGGATATTCTCCCTTCTTCCTGTTCTCTAGCAGCCTGCTGAATTTCTAGATAGCATCACCTTACAGCAAAGGAACTTCTGCATTTTATCTGCCACCCCTCTCAAAATGCTGCACTGTCAGAAAGACACGGTTCTAAGATACCAAACTGTGCACAGAGCAGGCAGGATGACACGTGTTGGCTGAAAGCTTTGTTTGGCTCTGTCCTTAAGGATGTTCCTTTGTTGGGAAACTATTTTGTACTCTCTTATAATAATTAAGAGAAGTCACAGACTATTGCATTAAATGTGAATCTGAGAGTGCCTAAGAGGTGTTACTGAGCAACATTTCCAGTGACTATACAGGTGATAATAATAATACAGAATCTCAACTTCGGTGTTTAATTAGCATGTGGTACTTCTTGTTTTCAGTGCCATACTTCCCTTTTTAGCAGTGCTCTGGGGGAGAGTATAAATACCTTCACTTTTAAGTGGATTCTGATTTTTAAGAACATACAAAGCTCAACATATGTTTTTGGTATTAGGAAATACTTATTTTATTTGCCACTTGTCTTAAGTTTTATATGCCTTTAAAGTGCCACCTGTATTTTGAAGAATTCTTACAGTTGTTTCAAGTGAAATTTTGAATTCTACAAATGGAAGGAGATTATTTTCCTGTGAATAAACTGTTAAAGACAGTGCCCTCGGACTTATTTTTGCAAGGCTGGTGCTCTGTGTGAGTGTGGATGTGTGGGTATGCCCAAGGCCATTATTATTGGTGTGTAAAGTAAATAGTGGTGTCAGATAAGGTATCAAGTTTTGGAACAAACTTCAGTGCTTTGTACAGCAAACAGCAGAAAGTTTTTGAACCTAGGTGGGTGGAGTTATATTGTGGCTGGAGATCTAACTCCAGGCTGAGTACAGCCAGAACTGGGACATGTTTTTTGTGGATTAAGATCAAGAGCAGCATCCTTGTGATTCAAATTTTTCATTGTTTTTTGAATCTTGGTTTTCTTACTGTGGTCTCTTGGGGGAATGCTAAAATAAGAAATGTAGAACAAAGAAGATAGTGTGTGATAAAAAAATTCAGAAAGTGAAAATGGCTTTAGATAGAAAGTGGGAGATGCTGAGTACAGTACTTAGCTCATTATTTGTTTTCTCTTTGTGCAGTAAAAATGAGATGCAGAGGGCTTCAGGGAGTCCAAGGGAGATTTGGATAACAGTTCTCTGGCACAGTGTGTATTCAGTGCATTCCTTTCAGTATGGACAGTTCAGGAGTTCAGCAGCTTGGAGGAAATGCTTGTCTTAGAGGTGAGGTGGGGAAGCCACATCAGGAGAGCCAGCATCTCTGGGCAGCCAGTTCTGCCTTTTCAGGCAACACAAGCCCTTAGCAGCAGCCTCTGTGGCCAATTCCTTGGCTGCCCCTCTGCCTTCTTGAACTCTGACATTGGCTCTTGCTAAGCAGTATCTGTCCCCACGGGCTACCTGAGGGAGCCATTCCCTCTTTGTGTTCCCCCCAGACCCTGCTGTGTCCTCCCACCAAATGGAATGTGTTCCCTCTCTGGCTTAGAGCATGTTTTGCCAGGAGATGGGAACTAGAGAAAAGGGTGTACCTCTTAATTTTTCCCCCCCTACCTTGGGCTGTCAGTGGTTCCAGAGAGCCCGTGTGGTCTGATAAATGAATTCAGGAAGTTGAATGTTCCTTCTGATAGTTCTGAATGAAGACAGGATTGGGTTTTGGTTTTATTTTTAAAGATATTTAATAAGATATTTTTTTCAAATCAGTACAAAAATTTTAAATACAAAATTATTTGCTTTTGACGTATCTCATATATTCTGGGAACATACTGAAGTCACCAGTATCTGGTAAACTGTCCGTCCATTCTTGCCACCGTTCCATAAAATTTCTGAGATAAAGCACCACATTATATCACTGGAGTCCTTAGTCAATGTTAGACCGCATTAAACTCTGCATTTAAATAATGGTAATGCCAGTTAAATCCAATCTTAGTTCTGCATGAAAAAAATCTAGGTTCATTTTTGAATCAAAAGCAGTAGCGGTAGCTAAAGACATGGAAGAAGTGATGAGCACCTAACTTTTTGACCTAGTGCAGCAGTGTGTGATGCGCAGCACTGTACAGGGAACCACAGCAAGGTCCACTGCCCTTGGGAAATGGAACACTTGTTGAGGTGAGATTAGCACCATTGATGAGCAGACAGAGACTTCGTGCACAGAAGTCGCTGTCCTCAAGTACAGAAAAGTATTGAGGCCTGCAGGTTCTCCTTGACAACTGGTAACGTATAAATATGGATTGGAAATCAGCTTTTAGATAGAACCAAGTTCTTGGATAAATTTGCATGATCAGTGTTGTCGGTAGAGTTAACTGGTTGATCTCAAGCAACAAATCAGTTAAGCAAACAGAGCTACTTCTGCTTTGCCTAGTCATTGAAGAGTAGACTGATTCAGCTTTTGCTGAGTGGCAGAATAGATGTCTTGTCTGACAAGCCAAATGGGTTCTCGGTACAAGCACAGAAATCCAAGTAAATGTATGCCACCCTGAAGTATTGCCATGTGTTGGCCAAAATGTCTCAATGACGTGGCACAAGTAAATGGGGAAGATTTACCTCGTGTACTTGAGCTGTGTGAATAGAGAATGGAAACTTTCCAAGTGCTGTGGCATTTGGAGGTGAAACCAGTGCCTGCCTGGAGTCACTGGTGACACTTTAGTTCCAATGACTGCTGGAGGTGGCTCAGGGGAATGATCATGCCATCAGGATTCCTCTTCCATCATAAATAAATTGTTCAGGAAAAAACGCACACCTGCAGGATTATTTTATTACAAGGGAAGGGAAATACAAGTCTCCAGCTAAGAGAACCTTTGCTTGTCAGGCAGACCTGCTGTCAAAAACCCAAGAAAACTCCTACCCAGACAAATAAGCCACTCAAATTTTTTAATACAATTAGAGACTGACCTACTCTGGTTTAAGTCACTGTTTTTCATCTCATAACTATGATCAATGCAACAGGAGTGAGTGACATACACTGATTTGAACTTTAGTACTGAATTACTGTGAATGAAATTAAGTAAGCATGGCATTGCAGAAATATATAACGTACAGCTAATATGTCCCCCTTGGGTGCAAAAGAACTGTTTATGAACCTGATACACATCTTTAGATATGTTCACCACACCTTTTTTTTTTAATAAGTAGCTGTGCATAATGTTAGACTTCGTATTTATTTTTTTGGTTTTGTACAAGATGGTCCAAAATGGTCATAAAACGTGTCTTTCTTGGTATAAAAGTTTGAAGCAGCGGAGAAAGGTTTTGATTTCGTGTGTGTGTGCGGTGTGTGTGTGTGTGTGTGTGTGTGTGTGTGTGTGTGTGTGTGTGTGTGTGTGTGTGTGTGTGTGTGTGTGTGTGTGTGTGTGTGTGTGTGTGTCTGTTTCGTTTTACATGGGATACAATAAATACCCTGAAAAAGACGAATGAACGTACTGCCCGGCATAGAGTCCTGCCGCCTGCTCGGATGGCATCTGAACGTAAACCTTGTCTCCGTGCATCAGCTGCACCACGGCGCTGCCCGAAGCCTGGTCCAGGAAGCCCTTCTTGTACTCGTCGTAGGTGTACATGAGCGGCTCGTTGTTCTTGTACAGCGCCACCCACACGTTGGCGCCTTTACAGTGGACGTGGTAGGCGAAGTAGTAGACGCCGGGGATCTCGCAGGTGAAGATGCCTGTCTGGGGGTTGTAGTTCTGCCGCCCATTGTACAGGAGCTTGTCGAACTTTATAGGCACCCCGACGCGGGGGAAGGGCGTGAGGAGCTCTGCCGTGAACGCGGGCATCTCGTACACGATGCCGCCAGCCTTGCCTTTCTTGCCCTTGTAGCCGTAGGGAGGCTTCACGCCGTCTATGCCTGGCCCCACCTCAGGCAGGTACTGTCCCACGGCGGGTGGGGTGGGCGGGATGACGACCGGCGGACCTGGGGGCCCGGGGGGGCCCGGGGGCCCCTGGAGCCCCGGCTGGCCGGGAGGGCCGAGCGCCCCCGGCTTCCCCGGGGGTCCCTGCAGCCCCGCAGCACCGGGTTTGCCTACCCCAGGGAAGCCAGGGGGGCCGGGCATGCCCGGCTCGCCCTTCGCCCCTGGCAGCCCCGGGGGCCCGATGGGACCACTGGGTCCCGCGATGCCCGGGATGCCTGAGGGGCCCTGAAGCCCCTGGGCCCCGGGGAGCCCGGGCTCACCCTTCGGCCCCACAAGCCCCGGGACCCCGGGCAGCCCCGGCAAGCCTTTGTGTCCGGCTTCCCCCTTGGGTCCTGTGGGGCCCGGCAGCCCCCGCAGCCCAGGGCCACCCACTTCCCCAGGAAAGCCTGGCTTGCCTGGAAAACCCTGCAGGCCAGGTTCTCCCTTGGGGCCGACTGGTCCTGGTGGCCCTACGGCACCTCCCTCCCCTTTAGGTCCTGGGAAGCCGGCGGCCCCCGGGGGGCCCATGATGCCCGGCAGGCCTGGCTGGCCGGGCTCCCCCGGTGGCCCTCCCATGCCGGGTGGCCCCGCGTGCCCCTTCTCCCCCTTCGGCCCCAGGGGGCCAGGCAGACCACCCACACCTCGCTCCCCTTTGGGCCCGGGGAAGCCCGGCTTGCCAACCCCGGGGAGGCCGGGGGGCCCCGGCAGGCCTGGCAATCCCTGCTCCCCTTTGCCGCCCGGGAAGCCGGGCTGGCCAGGCATGCCGTCCTGGCCGGGTTTGCCGATGCCAGGCGGGCCAGGAGGGCCTTGGATCCCGGGGGCCCCTGGAGGCCCCTGCAGCCCTAATTCTCCTGGGGGTCCGGGTTTGCCCAGGGGTCCCTGTGGGCCGGGGAAGCCAACCATGCCCGGTTTGCCCACCCCTGGCAGCCCCACGGGGCCGGGGGGACCAGGCAGCCCAGGTGGACCCTTCAGACCCGGCAAACCCGGGATCCCGACCCCCTTCTCCCCCCTTGGCCCTGGGATCCCAGGGATTCCTGGTGGCCCCTTCATCCCAGGCTCACCCTTTGGCCCTGGTTGCCCCTGCAACCCCGGAGCGCCCGCTTTCCCTATGCCGGGAAGCCCATGAGGCCCTGGTGGTCCTTGCGGTCCGGGTATCCCCATGGGCCCAATCTCCCCCTTCGGCCCCATCTCCCCTCTTGGCCCTGGGGGCCCCATGACCCCTGGCTTTCCTGGCATCCCTGGCAAACCCGGCTTTCCAATTCCTGGGTATCCTTGTGGGCCTGGTTTTCCTTTGGCTCCTGGTACACCATGACCTGGTAATCCTGGTGGCCCTGGTGGCCCTCGTGGTCCAGGCTCACCTGGGGGACCTTGCTCACCCCTCAGACTGCGCATGGGAATTTCTGTGTCGGGAAGAAAAGAAAGGGGGTGGGGAGAGAGAGAGAGATGTGATTGCGATAACATCCTTCAAAAAACAGGCAGTTTTGGATTGAATATGCTTTTTATGGTGCCTCATGGTTTTGTGGAAGACAGAGACAGCCTACAGAGTTATAGGTTGGTGCTGAGAATGAAGATGTTACTACTGTTTTTCATACTCCATACTTCCATGCATACTTCTGTTTCCACAACATAATTACTGTGCATCATATGTAAAAGCCATTTGTGATTTGGTGGTGTTTTCCACCTATACAAACTTAAACAGCAAAATCTGCATTTTGTCCTGTGTTGCTGTA